AAGAACATATTGCAGAGTGATTTTGTAGGCCTGACAGGGCATGTCAAGTTTAATCCTGACAAGTCTCTCATTTTTCCTGCATATGACATTATAAACATAATTGGAACCGGTGTTCGTCAAATTGGTTATTGGTCTAACTACTCTGGACTGTCAACTGTGCCTCCCGAGAATCTGTATTCAAGGCCACCCAACCATTCAAGTGCAAACCAACAATTATATAGTGTTGTTTGGCCTGGGCAGACAGTAAGTAAACCTCGTGGATGGGTTTTCCCAAATAATGGGAAGCAGTTGAGAATTGGGGTGCCCAACCGAGTTAGTTATCGAGAATTTGTGTCTCAAGTCCCAGGTACTAATACTTTCAAAGGATTCTGCATAGATGTATTCACAACGGCTGTAAACTTACTGCCGTATGCTGTTCCATATCAATTCATCCCCTATGGAAATGGCCACGAAAACCCGAGCTACACCGAACTTGTTAAGTCAATCACAACAGGAGTAAGTATGAGATAAAAAAAAAAATGAGGGTTGTCATAACCAACTGATATCTTGCTTATTTTTGTGGTTACGCGTGATTTGTTTGCATTGATAGCTTATATTATACTCACTTGTGACAGTTGTTTGATGGTGTTGTTGGTGACATTGCCATTGTGACAAATCGAACCAAAGTTGTGGATTTTACCCTGCCATTTGCTACTTCTGGACTTGTTGTAGTAGTCCCATTTAAGAGGTTGAGCACGGGAGCTTGGGCTTTCCTAAGACCTTTTTCTGCTACACTGTGGGGTGTTAGTGCACTTTTCTTTCTTCTTATTGGAATAGTGGTTTGGATTTTGGAGCATCGGACCAATGACGAGTTTCGTGGACCGCCAAAGAAGCAGCTGATTACCATTCTATGGTGAGTTCAAAGTCAGGGTTCGTGTACTTATTTAGCAAGTTATTATTTATTGTTGTGGAAAAAGTACCAATTAAACTTATTTATTGCAGAGAAAATTAAGATTGTGAACCTAGATTTGAAGTTATATAAAATGGTAGTAGCATCCTCAGTAATGAAAATCATCTCTTTCTACGAATATGGAGCGGCATGGGTAAAAAATATCAGACATGTTTGTTACAATATCCTTTGTTGGTTGTAAATGGAATAGCAAAGTGACGGTAGAGGCCGAAAGAGTTAGGGAGGTTTGCAGGTTTATAAGAAACAATGTGTTTGACTTTATTTTATGTCCATCATCTAACAATTAACCTGCTGAACCATAGACACTGATCTCGTGTTAATTTTGTCAAGGATATGATGAAATACCTGTTTATTGTATGAAATCTACTTTTAAATCCGATTTGAGATTACTTTAATTGCTGGAGTGGAAGCATATGCCTTCAACAGTTCA